TGTACCTGCCTTAAATATTTTATATATATAATCACATATGGAATATAAGAATATAATTTATTTCCATAGACGGTTCAGCTTTTGAGTTTAAATTTACCATAAGAAATATATATTCCTCCTCCAGACTTCCAAAATTTACTAAAAATACTTGTTATATCAGGCAAAGAAGGGATTGAGAAATTGCACATGTGACCACGTAGAGAAAAAGGAGACGATTATTTATTGTTTGGTTTACGTTTAAATTTTAATCATGGATTTTTAAAATTTTTTTCAAATTATTGAATTGTTGGAAGTATGAGGATCACTGCAGTTTCATTCACAATGAGTTGCTATTTTCTTGATTTGAAACAAAACAACAGCAGAAAATAAAAATGTTGTTAAAGCCTAATCCATTATTTAAAACAACATAGGATGCCAAAGTTGATTTTTTTTTATGGTTTTATTAAATTTTGCAAGAAATATCCAGTTAAAACTGTTAACAGTATTATTTTTCATATAGTACTTGAAGTTTTTAGTTGCAATAATAATTAATAGTAATAATTAATTTTTCCTTTAGGCTGTTTTTCTGTAGAGAAATTGTCAATACTTATCTGCTAAACTTGCTTATAAGAATCACTTAACATATAAAAACATTTATCAATTAAAAATGACTATTGTAGTTTAAAACAGAATAGTTTCCTCAGAAAAATGGTTATAAACTTTTAATCCTAAACAAATTGGCGAGTTAGTGGCTACTTTATATTTAAAAAGTGGAATATGAAAATTTCCATTATACTAGGTGGCGCAAAAGTCATCACCCTATTGGAAGATGCTATAATTTTTGCAAGTCAGTTCTGCTTTGACATTTGTGAAGTAAACAGATACAAAATGCATGTCAATAAGACATGAATCGCTATACTCCTCAAGAACGCGGAATAATTGTTTCGATTTTTTTGCGTAATAATTCGTCGGTGGTGTTGGCGCAACGTGAATTTAGACGTAGATTTTTCGGTCGTCTGACACCAACTGGGCAAACACTACGGCGTTTATCTGCTCGCCTAGAAGAGTATGGGACAACACGAAATGCTGTCAGGTCTGGGCGGCCCCAGAGCAGCCGTTCTGCTGAGAATATCGCGGCTGTAGCTGAAGATGTCACAGAGGACCCCGGAGTATCGACCAAACGGCGTGCCACGCAATTGGGCATAAATCGGGGTCTTTACAGAGAATTTTGGTGAAAGACTTGAAGATGTTCCCTTAAAAGTGCAGACAGTGCATCAGCTGCTAGCCGTTGACCGCCAATAGCGCGTGTAACCTACGCTCAAGCCATCCTGAATCTCGACCACGAAGAAGACAATTTTCCATCGAAAATGATCATGAGCGACGAGGCCCATTTCCATCTCTATGGATACGTGAATAAGCAGAATTATCGCTTCTGGGGCAGCGAAATTCCGCGTATAACACACGAAGAGCCATTGCACCCGCTTAAAGTTACTGTATGGTGTGGTGTTTACGCTGGAGGCGCCATCGGGCCTTATTTTTTCGAAAACGCCGCGGGCCAAACGACTACTGTCAACAGCGAGTGCTACAGAGCCATGCTCAACGACTTTCTCCTACCTCAACTGGACGAATTGGGACTGGAGTGTGGTTCCAACAGGATGGAGCAACGGCGCATACTGCACGATCCACAACTGAAATTCTAGACTTCTTTTTGTGGGGTTTCTTGAAGTCACGAGTCTATGTCAACAAGCCTCAGACTCTTGAAGTCATCACAGAGAATATCCGTCAGGAATGCGGGAACCTATTGCCGGAAGTTCTGGCAAGAGTGATGGAAAATGCCATAAATCGGGCACGTATGGTCATCAATCCTGGCGGCGGCCACTTGGCCGATATCATTTTTTCTACTTAATGAAAAAAAAATTAGACATCAAATAAACACAATCCAAAAGTAAAACTAAAAGTTTTTCATTTATTAAAAAAATTACAGTCAAAGAACATCGGGTGACAACTTTTGCGCCACCTTGTACATATACATATACCATTTTAAATAATGTATTGCAATATCTTCTTAGGGAAACACTTTCAAGAAAAAATTTTTATACAAAATTTGTAGGATTCTGAGGGGGACATTCGATGGTGATCTTGACCTCGACACAAAGGCCAACAGTAGAGGTCATTGGTCAACTTGGATTTTTTGACGTGATAGATATATTTCTGACACCGGAAATTGTTAGAGCAGAAAATTTTATGTTCAGATGTGTCTTTATGTTATGGGTCAAAGTGACCGTAAAGGCAAGGTCACTATGACTGTACCAGCCAGGTCGAAGCAATATTGCCTTGACTGCCTGGGCCATAACAGTCTTGCCTTAATTTCATAGGGCTGCAAACAGGGTTATCCTATTTCGTAACTTGATTCGACCTTTAAATAATCTTCAATCTTGACCTCTAGATCATGGTCAAGGTCATCATCATATGATCTCGTCAAACTATAAAACTTTCAACCAGATTCCTTCTATTCGCCGCAAGTGCTTTCCCGAAAATATCACAAAATCGTATTCAGAACCTTATTTGACCCTGAAGTAACCCTTTAGGGTCACTTTGACCCATAACATAAAGACATATTTGAAAATTTTCTGCTCTATCCATTTCCGGTGTAAATATATCTATCATATCTAAAAATTCAAGTTCACCTTCAAATGACCTCTACGGTTGAAGTGAAGGTCACCATCGAATGCCCTCCTCAGAACCCTACAACTATCTAAAAAGTTTTTCTTGAAAGTGCTTCCTTAAGAAGATATTGCAATGCGTTATTTAAAATGGGACACCGTGTATGTATACAGGATGTAACTTTCAGTGGAGATATAAGATAGATTTCGCATGTAAGAAATGTAAAAATCATGGCTCTACATGCTTCACGAAATGCACTATTAATTCAGTTAAAGCGTGTAATGCATCAAATGACTGCACAGAGTTCAGGAATAGGGTAATTAAAACAACTACAATATGGTTAGCTAAAATTTCCATCAAAGTGGAATGAAAACCATTCTCTACATGTTTCATGGTATGCTGGCAAAAAACCAAAACCACAGCATATTCTGATAATAAAATGTTTACAGACAAAATAGTTAAAACAACTACAATATGGCTAGCTAGATTCAAGCAGAGTGGAAACTACTCTATATGTTCATGGAACGTGGGCAAAAAAGTCAAAACAACCACGCCCTATTAAGACAGTCAAAGCGATTGTACCTGCCTTAAATATTTTGCATATAAAGTTTGTGGGCAAGATGGTTAAAGCAATTACAATATGACTAGCTAGACTTTCCACTTAAGGTGGTTAGTTGTAATTTGCATTTCAAACAATATAAAAATCCTGCTCTGAATGTACATCGTGTATCAAATCAAAGAAAATCAAATCAAGAACGGCGAAAAAAAAATAATGATATACCTTATCTTCTAAAATATGTAGTATTTTTCTTCCATATGATGCATCTCAGAAATTCTTATATTCTGCATAAATTCACTACACGGTTCAAAGTGGCACAAAACAAATGACTTGCACGTGCGGCACAGATAAATGAACTGGCTATAATTATTATTAAGTATCATCTATCATTCTGTCAATGTAGAGGGTGGTTGATTTTCGATAATTTTGATTGATACAAAAAATCTGATATCGATGTCCCGCACTTTTCTTTTGAGTTCACTTTGCTGGTACCAAAAGTTCTTGGCTAACTTTATTAGTTTTAGATATACAGGTTTTTTTTTGAAAAATCGACCATTGAAATTAACCTGTCTATCTCCGTTGTCATTTTTAGAAGAACAAATTTTGAACATTATTTGTTTTATTTTTTATGAGGAAGCTATTGGCGTACTCAGATTTTTTACAAATTGCATAGTTTTTCCGATATACATAGATTTTTGCAAGATGGGTCCTATCCACTTAGAGATTATTCTCAGAATGATCTACTAAATAAATTTAATTTTGTATCATTAAAAACCAGACGTAATATTATACTGATACGGTACTATTTATATAACCTTTTGAATGGCAAGATTGATTGCCCCGAACATTTAAGTAAAATAAATTTTTTTATACCTTGTGTAAATTGTAGACAGCATACCTTTTTTATTGTGTGGCCCCTCAAACTAATCTTTTAACTAAATCTCCTATTTGGTAATGTGTGGGGCCTACAATAAAATTGCAAATAACTTGTGATATTCATTATACAGGGTGTCCCAGAATAACGTGTACAACGGAGGATCACAGATTTGTGGACTCAAAATAATCAGATTTAGGCTAATTCACCTATATCCAAAATCGCTTCGTTCGGCTGCAAGATGGTGTCAAAGTTCGATAAAAATTTTTTGAATTTTGTAAATAACTCGAATACATATTATTCGATTTTGGCAAGATTGATTGCCCCGAACATTTAAGTAAAATAAATTTTTTTATACCTCACGTAAATTGTAGACAGCATACCTTTTTTTATTGTGTGGCTCCTCAAACTAATCTTTTAACTAAATCTCCTATTTCGCTAATGTGTGGGGTCTACAATAAAATTGCAAATAACTTGTGATATTCATTATACAGGGTGTCCCAGAATAACGTGTACAACGGAGGATCACAGATTTGTGGACTCAAAATAATCAGATTTAGGCTAATTCACCTATATCCAAAATCGCTTTGTTTGGCTGCTAGATGGTGTCAAAGTTCGAAAAAATTTTTTGAATTTTGTAAATAATTCAAATACATATTATTCGATTTTTATTATTTTTGGGATGTGGACTTTTGCTT